AGCGTCGCGCTGCGCAAGAATGCCACTTCCGGTCAGCGAAACGCCTCTTGCCCGAGCGGCAAAAGCTGAGCTGATTCGCTAGCGGATCCGCAAGTGTAAAAACGTACCATCGTCCGTTTCTGGGTTGAGCGGCGTCGCGTCGCTGTCGGCGTAACCGCGCGTTGCATTATGAGACGTTTCCCATAATGACGTCACACGCGACGTCACGTGTGACGTCACGAGGGTAAAATTCTCCCGCTAAATTTGGCGGAAAACGTTTCCGCTAATTTAACAAGAAAATTTCCCTGCTATATTTAGCAAAAACAATTCCTGCCAAATTTAGCAAAATTTTACCCTCGTGACGCTACACGTGACGTCACGTGTGAAATATTTTCCCGCTAAATTTAACAGGGAATTTAGCGGAAATTTCCCGCTAAATGGGAGGGGAGGAGGAAGGCAGGGAAAGGAGGGGCACACCCTCCTCTCCGTACCCTCCCCTCCTCCTCCTCTAGAGCTGCGCTCTGATTCGGTATTACAGAGAATTGTAAACGTCTCATTTTTTTTTCAGGAAAAATATCTGTAGACAATACGAGATTTGTTAAATCGCATACTATGTTACATTTAAGATCTGAAACCGCTTTAATTGGTGCCGCCTTTTTACCATCTAATCCACAAGAACAATAATTTTTAAGGCCGCTCATTAGGGTAACAATATTGGAGAAGAGGGGGGGGGGGGGCGGTAAAGGAACATAGAATATGAGAGATTGGGCCCTATATACTTCTTAAAATCCCCAGAGGTTGTCAGACCTGCAGCCCCAAGGGCTAAATATAATTCTAGAAATACTGCACTAGGGCACGTTTTTGAGACTCTCGAAATAAATTGGAACTATTCAAATGTTTTTTTTTTTTTTTTTATAATAGAAAAATAAGAAATGTTGAATTGTGTCCCTTTGATGATTTTTGGTGAAGTTTGGCACGATTTTGCATGTGACGTACTTAAGATATTTTAATGACCTTAGTATCATCAGAAAGCTCAAACTTAGCTCTTTTCATTGCATATATTTGAATGAACCAATGTTTAAAAAATCTTGCAAATTTGGGACCGATTTTTTTCAAAACCTACTCATTATTTTATTCGTGTTGTATTAGTGGCAAGTTATGATTGTGATCTATTTGACAACATAAATGGAAAGTTTAGTCATTTGTTTATGTGACCGCAATTAAAGATAGACTCTTGTCAGTTGTACATTGTGACTGTGTCCCCGCATGAGTGGTATTACAGTTCAAAGCTAACGCCAGTACTTAACGTGTAAGCTTTAAAATAATTGAAATTGTGTGTAATGCTTAGTAGAACTTATTTTACTTCAGATCAAAAGTTGCCATTTTACAACCCACATTTAACAAGATTCCCAGCCGTATTTCCGGTCCTATAAACAAATCAATGTAATATATTTATATTTTATGATAGAACACTATCATACCTTGCTACCAATAAAAAATGAAGCAAATAAGAAATAGTGCTTTTTTTAGTTCTTTTTTCTTAGGAAATTGATTCCAAAGTTGCAAGATTTTCAAACATTCGCTCATTCAAATGTATATAACAAATTTTAATTTACAGATCTAACATTGAATTTGTATGCAATAAGAAGAGCTATGTTTGAGCTTTCTGGCGATATTAAGGTCATTAAAATATCTTATTATGTCACACGTAACAACTTGCCAGACTTTGCCAAAAATCATCGAGGGAACAGAGTTTGGCTTTTTTTCATTATATTCCAAAATGTAATAATTTTTCAGTTCATTGGGCTTATTGAAACCGATTTGGAGAGTGTCACAAGAAAGTCCTAGTGCAGAAGTTTGAGAAATGGCAAAATAGCGAGCGGCCAAGCATGCAATCTTCGATAGCTGAGAAAAACGTCAGTTTTCGCCCTGTCCGTTTCGATGGCTGATAACTCCAAAACAAACAAAAGTCCATAAAGTTTGCCGTTGTGGTTTTAGGACCATTACAAGAATGGTCCTAAAACATTTTATTTTTGTTAAAAATTTTACCGACCCTAAAACTGTCCATAAATTTAGCTGAAAAAGCCCTGCTATTCTTCGCACAAGACCAGTTCGTCATCGGAGATCACAGAATGGTGCCAGAATGCACTTTGCACGCGTGGACCTTGGATCATCAACGCCTCACCAGCGTGTTGAGTTAGCTTAATTGTTGCAGCGTAGCGGCCGCGAGGATCGAAGGCGGGCTCGTCGCTCGACGTGTGCGGACGTCAGCAGACGTGCAAGCTGCCTCTAAGACCCGTCATACCAATTCCGAGGCTCCGGTTTTGTTGTTCCAAACAGAAAACTGGGCCCGCGATAACAGCCCTCGTGTCAGCCTCCTCGAGTGGGAATAAACTGCAGTCGAGATGCCGCGGACCAAGAAACAACAGCGCGGAGAACCTTCTACTGCTTCCATCGACACGGCGATAAGATAGCACCGAGTCCAACCGAGTCCCCCAACGGCTTTCTCCCAGCCGCGGCAACGTGCAGATAACGGCCATCTATCTTCGGCTGTCTCCCGCATGCCAAACACGGCTGCGGGCTCGGATCTACCCAGAACCCTGGTCTGTGCCCACAACATTCGTCTTTCCTATGCTGGACCTCAACGAGGATGCATCCGATGGGCCACGATGAAGTTTTGACAGTCGTGTACGGTCGTCGCAGTATGAGGTTTGTGTTTGCTTGAACACCGCAACTCCACGAACTTGTTGGTAAATATATGTGGAGATCCTCGGCTCTTGGTACTTCGTTTGGTTTTTGGATTAATGTACGCAGAGTATCCTTGGCTTATTCGCCTAACGCCCCGAATGGAATGTGTCTGAATGCCGTTTGTGATGTCAATGTAACAGGAGAATAAAGGCCCGTTCACACACTTGCGACTTCTTAGGACCGGAGAGGCTAAAAACCGGTGTTTAAGCCTTGCGTGACGGCTTACGACCAGCCCTGCAGCGGCGCAGCCGGTCGTAAATTGGCTCAAGAGGCTTAAAACCGGTCGTGTCAAACTTTGTTGAACTCAAATGCTAGCGTCACAAACTTTCGTTTGACTACGAATGACTTCGACACGAACGGTATTTAAGCTTCCTGTGAGAGCTTACGATCGGCTGCGCTGCTGCGGAGCCGGTCGTAATTCCGTCACAAAAGGCTTAGAAACCGGTTTTTAGCCTCTTCGGTTCTAAGAAGTCACAAGTTGCAAGTGCTTACGACCAGAGACGCAAAAAAACCGGTTGGAGTTTCTTGTGACTTCCTACGACCGCTGCGCAGACGGTCATAAGTAGTCACAAGAGGTTTAAAAACAGGTTTTTGACCTCTCTGGGCGTAAGTATAGTCGGAAGTGTGTGAACCAGCCTTTACTGAAGCCAGCTTATGAGTCATCGAGGTACGCATCATATGTAAACACTCCTTAAACGAGTTTCGACATTATGACAGATTTTGACTTGCCTCTACCAAACTGTCTTTTCATTCTATTTAAAATGGCTAGTTCTCAGTTTGTTCCAATTGTTTTTTTGTTTTTTTTTTTGATAAGGTAACCAGATTTCATCAGTTCAGTTGTTTTGTCCACGTGCGCGGACTATTTTGTATCTTCCTTCTAGACAGGAGCGCGCGAGGTTTCTCTTGGAGTTGATAGTGAGGTCCGAAAACAGTATCTACCTTGTATAGATATGGAGCTGTCTTGGGTTGCTAACTTTCATCGCGAACGTCCGGTGTGTATATCGTATCTAACTGTCCAGCTGCGTGTGTGCTCAAGTCAGACTATCGATCTCATAAACGGAAAACGTCGCAAACAACAAGGACAAAGGAAGTTACTCGACGGGCATTGGGCGCCATGAGCGCGTTGTGGCAGAGATATGCGAGTACAGTCATGCCTCGTTAATATATGAACACCGCGCTTCATAGACAAAATTTTCCAGGACCAATCCGCCCTCACGATTCTAGTCCGGACTATGAAGCTCCTTGGAAACGAACTGGGTAAACGCCTGCATTTTCGTCTGTTTATTTTGGATATAAGATGAATACGCTACGTACTCAACTTTTTTAGACATCAACGTCTTACGGATGTTCACCAAGTGAAAAAGAGAAACATCGCAATGTTCCCCCAGAATATTCTTGATGACAGTCATAAAATATCAATAAGAAATAATTTACCCATTGAACGCGTATAGTCCCGAGGACTGTAATTGCCAGGGTATCATAAAACGCAAATCAGTTAGAATTTTGATATTTCCTTGAAAACCTTTTATTACACGGAATGTCCCAGAAAGTTGGATGGCCACAGACTCTTTCCTGTCTCCCTCTTTGCATTCATGGGTCATGTCACGTGTACCTCTCGTGTATTAGAGTTAAAACGGGGCACTTCCCTCGGAGCAAAGTGTCTCGAAGCATAAACAGAAATAGTGTCTTTTCTGTGGCTATATACGCTTGTTGTTTATTGTTTCAGATTTTGTCTTTGACTCGGTTTTACCTCGTCCCGCAACTTTATTTTAGCATTTTTAGCATGAAGTTTTAGTAGACCGTTCCGATGACTCTAAAAAATATACCCAATACTCTGCCGACGCCTTTGCGCACGCATCATATTGTCATCGAACGATCTATTAAGATGCTTTATTTTCGCCTAACAAAACTCATTAATAATTTTCTTAAATATAAAGCTTTTCCGCGTTTTCGTCGAGCTAAAGATGTACATTAGCGCTGTTCTGCGGTATTGCAGTTTCGAGACTGACCTTTCTGCTTCTTTTTATAGCCCTCAAACGCTCAACACCTGCTGCTCGTAGCGCACGACCCGCATCTGAAGTTAACGCGTCTTAGAAGGTAAACCCGAGTCGCAATTGCGCTCGGTAAAAGCCAAAGTTCCGCCTGGACGACGAGCGAAAAAGCGGCGAGGAACTCCGCAGCTGGCACAGGGGAAGCATCACGTCCAAGACTCCGAAGACATCTGCGGGACGTGTATCGGACGTAAAAAAAGGTCGAAGCGGAATGCCCGGGTCATGCACCCCCTGGTCATTCTGGCGCTCGTTGTGCTCGTGCTGATCGCCGTGGGTGTCCTCGTCTGCTTCTGCTACAGCCACGAGTCCAGCCTGACGTGTCCAACCGCTCTGCGACTGAGCACAGCGCACAGCGTGGCTGGGCTCTACAACGGTTACGCGGATGGCAAAACCCCTACGACCACAGAACTCACGAGCCCAGCTGAGTGTTCTTACTCGAGCACCATCGAACTGTACGACAGCACCTTTCAGATCACAGAACCGTCGTGTCGTTTCGCCCCGGCCTTCGCGGGTCGGGAACCCAAGGGGCGACGGTTGTGCGTCGGGGAGGTCCTGGAGGGTGACATGGTGCACGGTGACGTGACCCTCGAGAAGCTAGACTATTCTTCCCGGCGTGCTTCGAGTGCCCTGTCGACGTCCTGTCCTTGTGTTCTGGCTGTTCCGGGGTCGTCTCCCTGCAACGGTACCCCGGTGCTAACTGTGCTCAAGGACAAGATGAACCGTTGCGAACAGTGTTGTCATGTAGAACCATGTGTGGGGAGGGACCCGAGCCCGTTGCGCTCCGAAATCAGGTCGGGTCATCCGATAGGAGATTGTGATTTCTCCGATCGCTTCCCGTTGGGGTAGACTTTTTTTTTTTCGCCGCTGGCACAGATGATGGAGCCACATATCATGCCTTTGTGTACGGTGTGTGGAGTTTCCACGGATACTCTGAACTGTTGATGTTACCGTTATCGTTTCCAGAGCAACACGAACAAAGTAGGTTGTGAAATATATTTTACTGAAGTACAAAACTTTTCATCGGTTACAATTGTCTAATAATGTGTAAGACTGAAGTGAAAAAAAAAAATACTGAGATGGCTGAGCTTTGCACGATTGCTGTTCTAAGTTTTACTGCCTCGCAAGTGAACGACGATCAACTTATTAATGGCGCATTGTTTAAAACAAAGGGTCAACCTTTCGCCTACATCGATGGTATTACGTAGTTTCAAAACAACTCTTTCGAAATTTGGCCCCTGAAGTTCCGAAAAACATCTCGGCTCTTTTCTTCAAGAGAACGCTTTCCATGTACTGCCTGTACGTTTCGTTGTGGGAATTTCGACGAAATGTGCCGGTAATGTGTTTTTCACCTGGCATTTCTTCTTCGGACATTTCATTTTCCTTAATCAAGTCGCAGCTCATCGCCACGGAATTACACTGAGATGCAGTAATCGAATTCACCAGTCCCCGTGTCGATGCGGTGCGCGGAGTTTCATCTTCCAAGATGTACTCGGCTGACGAGTCCGAAGAATCGCTCTGGTCCTCGCTGTCGGATGCGCTTATCGAGGCATGTTGAGAAACAGAACAGTCGTCTAAGTCGCACGTTTCGGTTTCGGGTGATAGCCCTATAGTCAACTTTATGTCCGATGGGCAAGACGAATCTAACTTGCTTTGTACCGGTGGCTCAAGCGGCAGTAGTTCGTCCTTGAGTGGTGTCGACGTCAGCAACTGAACACCGCTGTCCGCTTCGTCAGCGTGAACGGGCAAAACTGAAAACTCCTTAAAGACTGCGCAAGTATCTTTCCTTGGCTCTTTAGTCTTCCCCAATACTTTCTCCTGGACGAAGGATGGGCTGTAGGAGCCTCTGTGACCTTCGGCAGCCGTCGTCCAAAAGTGGCGAACGTAGAGCCATATGATGGTTCCAACCGACAGCAAGACTATCAGGACAGCGAAGCCGAGCGCCACAGGAGGCAGCATGTTCAGCCTTCACATCTCTCCCGTGATGACGTCAGTCCTCAATCTGAAAGCGAAATACCGACAGAAAAGGCATTAACTGGTAAGGAACCAGGCAAGCTGGAGTAGATTTACGGGTAAAATTAATACAGTAAATTCGCGAGTAAAAGAAATACATTAATAGAGTAAATTCACGGGTAAAAGAAATACATTAACCGATGTTGCTCATATTAGCCACCACTTGGCGGCAGCAAAAAAAAAAAAAATTACGCGGTGGTGAAAATTACTCGGAAGTGTTTTTTTTTTTTTTTTATTGCCACTAGGGACGCTAGATTCGTCAAACACATGACTGCTCGTGCTTGGTAGCGATATGGGATTCTTTATTATGTTTCATTAAGGCAAAATTTAAAAGTATACTTTTAGAAAACTTAACTTTACCATTTTAATTTTTGTCTTTAATCGAATATTAGTTAATAGTTGAAATAAAAGCTCTGGCCGCGGGTAGCCCGAACCGCCGGGCGCCGATTGAAGGGGTTCAGCCCCATTCATCCGTCCATCCACAAAACTGGAGCCCTAGTTCGCGGAGGGACACCGACTGAATTCTTGCGTCAAGAGCCTGACGTTCCCGTCGCCAAAAACTCCCTCAGTTTTTTTTTTTTTTTTTTCGTGTGCAAAATTATATTACGCGTTGCCAAACGTTAATTTTCTGCGCAAATGAAGCGATAGCGGTCCTATCCAGACGCCAGAGTTTCAGAACTAACCGCAATCTTATTAAAACGTTTTAAGCTTTTTTTTTTATTTTTTAATTCTTCGTTGACGGGGTGTTGGAATACAAGGAGCTGAGGCGCTAGTTACTAAGAACAGACCCCATTTTCCCACTGAAAGTTTCAGAAAATCACCTATAACTTTTTAATACGATAACGTTTACTTCTGCAAATTTTACAGCTCTTTGCAGTGCATCATTTGAAAGCAGCGCGCATTTCTATATTTGTTACTAACTATACCTAAAAATGAAAAAGTTGGGCTAATTTGGCGGTATGTTCCGTAAGCATCCCTGGGAAAGACACATTCCCTAGTGACGCTTACAAATATTCAACCGTTGCTTTGGTTGTACAAGCCCTCAAGGTTCGCTTAGGCCGGAGGCACACCCAAATACGACCGACAAAGCAAGTTGTATTTTTTGCCGTGCCTGCCAAACTCTGCAGGCCCCAAACGCGTCGAAAGAAGCGGTGGTGTGAAGCCCTTTCTTGAGGAGGTCACACAGCGAGTTAAGACGAAAAGTTTTGAATGTTTTCAGTCTCAAGTTTCTCCGGCATTGCATAAGTTCTGGACGCAACGTTCAGTGTGAGCATGCATGATATCCATGGACAAATTGTGATTTAAAATTTCTCAGACAAACTAACTCTATTTCTATTTTTTTTTGTTCTTTTATTTTTAAGCCCATATATTTAGTGAAAAAAAAAGTAAGGCCCGAAAATTACGAAAGCATTCTCCCAGGGAAATATAGCATACTTGTTCAAATGAACAAAACTCGAAAGAGTATTGCTAACATTCAAAGTTTCTGGAAAGTTGGAAGCTGGGAGAAAAACGCCCAACTGATAGGGATACCTTCGTTGCTCAGTGAAAACTGAAGAACAAGCTGCTCGGCTAGTCCTAAACCTTGCATACACAGATACATATGCTATGGCTCTGCGCCAGTTGATCGTATATATCTCCCTTTGGCGTGCCTCCGTACGCACAATTGTAAGTCTCTAACTTCGTTCACTAACGAGAAATCCGCATCTCCGAGCAATTAACCCACCTGATAACTCAAGAGTCCAGTCCTCTCGCCAGTCAAAGCTGTTGTCCAAACGTTGTCAACTCCACCAGCTTCATCGATACATGGAGACCGTTGCCCATAAGAAGAACAAAAAAAATGACACGAAAGTCGAAACACGTGGTACAGCCGTATATAAGAAACCTCTCCTGACGTCTTGCCCACGTATATAGAGCATTATCGGGATGGCCGATATCGCGGCGTCGTAAAAGGTGGGAGAATGAAGTAGGAAGGGAGAAAGCATTCAGCTAACTCGGTGATAAGAAGAGGGACAGAACTTAGAAGAGCACGCTGCCTGGGGCCGATCGAGTGTGGCCTTTGCGACGGTTTTTCTTTGGAGGGTCAATCGAAATATTATTTCTTCCGTAAAGCGTTAGCAGGTTGTGCGTTTGGTCTGAAGTCAGACATGTTCTATATGACTTGGCATGAAAAATAATCCCGCCAGTTTAATCATCCGCTGCACTTGTAATGTAATAATTGGCCGCAAGTTTGGTCATTCTGCCAAACGTGTTTAAATTTGGTAGGTTTATAGGGTAGGTGGTGCTCTTAGTTAGGATGGTGCCTAGGGCAGGGTTTTGCATGGCAACATTACGTCACACCACTGTCTCTTTGTGACGCTGCGCGCGCTTCCCACCACCCGTACACAAAACATTTGCGCTGAATTTCCCTGCCCAGCCCTCCTTTTCCGAGCACTCTCACATGTTTCTGCTCCTTTCTTTCTTGCCCCTTCCACCCCTCCCCGCTTCGCGCGCTTTCTCACACCACCTGCTTCTGCTCCCCCCGTTCCTGCAGGCTGGACCCGTAGCTCAGTCACCAGTGCACTCCGCTTGCACCCCGGTCACCGGGGTTTAAACGCTGACACCTGTTGCCGTTTTTCTTTTTTTGGATTGCTTAGCGGTTACGGACTGACCGACCTCCACATTTTGTACTTACCCATAAAGCTACCAATTTAAAATGCACGGCTGTAAATGCCCAACAGATTACAGCATTCAGGGGAACAAGATATCCAACCGTTCTGCAAACAGCAGATAGCGGAACGGAATGGTGACCCAGATATGGTTTGGGCTCTGGTATGTCATATACACTTCCGCCGCAAGGATAGAAAAAAGTTGGCCTCGCTGCGTCGATCGGGATCCTTGACAATCAGTGTCGACGTTGGTCGCTACTTTGCGCCAAACTGGCCACTTTCAAGTCTGTCTGGCGACAAAAGAAAATGATTTTAGCTCCCTTGCCTCCCTGGCTACTGTTTAACTTAAACTCTAGTGAATTTGTAGCCAAACGAATGTTCGTTTACAAACAGGCAGAAAGATAACACATCGCTTCTGACACTACGACGGGCTTTGAAAGAATACTTAGCAAGATCTAACGCTCTCTGATCATCACAATACTGAACGATTGGCCAATCATAAATCTAAGATGAACAAAAGCGCGTCAATAAGTTGTTTCAATGCGCAATGTTGCAGAACCCTTTGGACTCTTCCAGGAGCTTGAAAACCTGTATCTTGAAATCCTGAAGAGAAGTTTGAATCTGTCAGTGCTACGACGCAACGTCAGCAAGTTTGCTATCCCTAGACCTTGTCAACATGAGATCCCTCTTCCTGAGTCTAGAAACATCCAACCTGGGGGACGCCTTCGGCGTCCCCCCGGCATAGATTAAAAAAAAAAAAAAAAATGTCCGAGAACGTTGTTTTCATTTTTTGAAACAAATTGCAGTTTAGTTGCAACTACGGCTACCAAATGCTTCGTCCGCACTTCGAAGTTCAATGCCATAAGTCCAGAAACCATAGAGAGAGAGAGAGAGAGCCAAGAGCCGCGCAGACATATTGAGACTTCCACCTCACTTTTTTTGGATGTCATTCTCATGAGCTCGAATCAGAAATACGGCACCTGCAAGTCTGTTTGAAGCACCTTGGACCATACAACCTGCCTAAACTTTTGGCGCTGAGCGGCCGCTTACAAGAGCCTTTCTGGCGTATGCCCTTTTCCTCACCTCGCAGAAGGTGCTCTGAAGATCTTACCACTCCCATATCGAATGCGGATGCCGAGCGCGTATTGTCTCAAGCTTCTTAAACAAAAACTGAATTAAGAAAAAAAAAATGAAACTCGATGTCCTTAATTGTGGCAATTCTTAAACTGAAGTTCGGAATGGGGCTGCAAGAAAAAAACATCCTCAACATCTAACACGCCTCCATCGATCCCCCCTCCTCTGATGTGTTTACCGTCCTATTCCGAAGGGGCAACAAACTGCGTCACAGGAGCCGGTGTGTCATGCTGTCGGAGGCCGCGATCCTGGTGGTTGGGCGTAGAAACGCTGGTGAAAACGGCGAGCGGACGCAAGGGTCGCTGACGTCGCGGGGTCCCAACTTGCGTCTGTTTTGGTTTCCGTCGTCTGTCTGGCTGCAGAGCGACCTGCAGGCTGCAGCAGAACAGACGCCTGCCGCCACCGCTGCTGTAGCAATAGCGTAACACTTTTATGATATCAGCAGGCGGAAATCGATGTCGCAGTAAACAGGTCAGTCGGAGACGTGCCCCAGGCACCATATACAGTACAGGAAGATTTCCTTTAAACGTTGATGCAACGTGCCTCGTGGAACCGTATCCCAATACCTGTCACTGGCCTTCGTTCCAGATCATTCAAGTGAGATAAGCACGTTTGCATCATTGCATAGCTGCGCCTGTGTGGTACAAGATGGCTCAGAACAAAATGGTCTCAAGTGCAAAGCAAAGCAAAGTTAATATTTTGTTACATTGCGCCGCTTTACATTGTTTTGCTGTGAAGCTATATTTAACGACCATTGGCGTATTTCAATTAAAGCGAATATATTAAGTATTTACCTTTAGCTAAACATTATATTACGGAGCCATCTTCCCAAACCCTGCACCCGAGTTCCGTTATATATAGGGTGTCCGAAATAACCAGGCTTGATTTAAAATGGGCCGTGAAAATTGGCACCTGCACGTAGCCATCTAAACTTTTCGTCAAGGGTGTATTTCACAGGTCGGTTTTATCTTATAAAATTACAAAGCGTAGCTCCCTTTCTGTAAAAAAACAAAAAAAAACTGAACCGAAATTTGGATTTCAAAAAAACTATGCTGGAGATGTAGGCGGGACGCTATACTCCGTTCCACCTTCAGTCCGAGCGCAGTGGATGCCACGAGCTATCCCAGCCGATGCAGCGCCGGGAGAAAGTCGCGTGACCTGCCGGTTGGGCAGAGCGACGCAGGGAGCTCAAGGTCACGTGACACTCTCTCCGCGCTGGATTGGCTGGGATGGCTCCTAGCGTCCGCTGCGCTCGGACTGAAGGTGAAACGGAGTATAGAATCCCTACAACACTACTAGTGAGGCGATATCTCAAATGGATGACCGTATTTTTGGAAAACGAAGTAGAGATTGAACCAGGCCGACGAGGTGCGTGACCCCGTCAAGATACCTAGTTTCCTCCTCTTTTCGCTTCGCTCCCTCAAGGCCGCGAGGAGAAGAAGACGCGAGGCCGTTCCCTCTCCTTCTCGGAGAAACATGACGTCAACATTCCTGCCAAATGCGCCTCTTTTTTTGAATAATACGGTCATCCGTTCGAGATATCGCTGTATGAGTGATGTTTTGGTGTTTGTAGCATCCCGTTTCACGCTTTTGCCGCGTGTTTCGGGGAATCCAGATTTCGGTTCAGCATCCCTTTATAGGGGTACGCCGGCGATTTTTTTCATAATCGTTGATTTGCCTCAAAATTGGCTGAACACACCGATAGACGTGGCTCTACGAGGTCTTCAAGTATTTTGTGAAAAAAAAAAATATATTCGCGAAGTTATTGAATTTTCGAATCTCGTTTTCATCGTGTTTCTCAAACCGGGAGCCCCTACTGGCAACATTGAAGTGTGACGACAGAAATGGTACAAAGTGGGCAGTAAGCCATGTTCCCAACTGATTACAAGCTGGTTTCGGCATCATCTTCATTTACGGTTTTCTCAATTGCTATTTTGAATTTCGAGAAAATAAATAGCCTACCATGACGACTGAAGTCCGGGTAGTCAGAAAATACAATTTGTTAAGGTAGCTCAAAAAACGGCTGGAGTACCCCTCTAAACGTTGGCGCAACGTGCCTCGTGGAACCGTATCCCAATATCTGTCACTGGCCTCGTGGAACCGTACGATTACAAAGCGTAGCTCCCTTTCTGTAAAAAAAAAAGTAAGGCCAAAAAACTTGCCAGGGTCAACGGCTGACGGCGACGCAGACGACGGAGTCAAGTGTCGGGACGGGTTTGGTGCACGTATTGATACATGGCGGTATACCTCTTTATCGAGACTGCTCGCGACGACCGTGGTCTATTAAAATGAACATAATATTTTTGTAATGTACCTTTGGTTTAAAAATAAATGCGGAAAGTAAAAGCAAAACTCAAAGTAAAAAATAAATAGAATAATTACAAACGGTTACGCTTAATGCGAAATTAGACCGCAGCTCTTGAGGTATGTTGATTTTGTGATATAAGGCCCGTTCAACACTGTTGCGACCAAGTAAGACCGAGAGAGACCAGTGCGGTTGCTTTGCGACTTCTTAGGACCGGATGCGCTGCAGCGGAGCTGGTCCTAAGAGATCGCAAGAGGCTTAAAAACCGGTCTGGTCTCTCTCGGTCTTACTCGGTCGCAAGAGTGTGAACGGGCTAATGCAGTGGTAGAGAATTTTAGGGGGTACACCAGGGAGGACGAGAAGGGTACTGTGGGAGACCCATAATGCAACGCGTGCGGTGTTTGTTTCAACGTGAAACGTTTTGGGCTAGTTGCTCCGGATTTTGTAAAGCCGCATCTCGTGAAGCTGTTCCCTGTGACGTTACAGTTTCCCCGCTAAATTTAGCTGGAAAATTGACGCCACGTGACCTCAACACCAATTCAGCCTCTCCGCTAAATTTAGCGGGGAAAATAATGCCACATGACTTCATGTCACGTGACTTTTACACAAAGTCGGTTTCTCCGCCAAATTCAGCGGGAAAACCAGGGTGGGGAAACGAGAGCCAAATGAGCGACCGGATTGTGTCCCCCTCGGGTTTCTCTTTTTCTGTAGCGCCATCTATGTGGAGCACCGCGAACTCTCACTCTAGGTGGACGACCGGTGGCGACCGGCTAAACTGACGGAGATGGTTTCTCGTGGATTTTCAATGGAGGACTGTCGTGCTCTCGGTTTATTTTGCGCACTCTCCCATAAAGTTCCATGCAAATCCGATTCCGA